ATATCTTCCGGTGCAGATGGAGAGAATGACATGGGAGGAGGTGATGAGGTAGGCAACCCTGAGGCTTCAGTCGGAAATGGAGCTATGCTTGGAGGGGCTAACCCTCAGCATCAGGTGCAATGTTGTACAGGTGTTACAAAGAGTTCAGGGACCGCAGGAAGAGCCGGATGTTGTTGCACCTGAGTTGCATGATGAGGCAAGTAGCGCTCTTGCCTCTCGGAACAGGTATTGCTAACTCTGAACCGGTTGGGGTAGTATCGACTGATGCAACCAGGAATCTTATACATCGTACGTTGGATCAACAACAGACTGCAAGGAACTCTCCGAACCATGTTGTGGCTCAGCCGGATTTCCTTCAGTTAGTAATGATGGTTAAGAATATGGGGACGAGGCCATATGCTGGAGGGACCAACCCGTTTGCAGCAGATGCATAGGAACTTTGCTGCAACACAGTGCCCGGTGGATTACAAGGCAGATGTGGCGATCCATTACTTGGAGCGTGATGCAAGTAGTTGGTGGATCAGGGTAGAGCCTAAGTTTGCGGATAGGAAACCCACTTGGCTTGAGTTTAAAGGTGAATTCGAGAAGAAGTATTTCCCCTCCGAAACCAAGGACATGCTCGAGGTTCAGTTCCTGGAACTGAAAGAAGGTAACCGCATCGTTAGGGATTACGAGGCGGAGTTACCAGACTTAGACGCTACGTATGTTACGGTCATGGGGATGAGTCGGCTATCATTCGGAAATTCTTAAGGGGTCTCTGACCAGAGCTGCGTAGTTGACTACAAATGGTAGAATTCACTAGTTTGTTTAATTTAATGGAACATACAGTGAATGTGGAGGAAGAGATCATCGAGGAACTGAAGAATCAAGTGACCCCGGTAAAAGTTGGAGAGGGAACAACAAAAGGTTAATCTACCACTCATTCAACTAAGCGGGGGAGATCCAACCAAAAAGGGAAGTCAAACAGTAAAGAAGGGAATCGAAGTGGTAAGAGAGGTAGAGGAACACTCTCTGAGGACTCACCGCATGTTTGTCACAACTGTGGAAAAGTCGGTCACCTCAGGATTGAGTGTAAGCAACCAAATCAAGGGTCGTAAGCGACCTTTGTTACGTGCTTCTCGTGTGGAGAGAAAGGGCACCACTCTTCTTCGTGTCCTAGTACGCATCCATCTTCGTCTAGAAAAGGGAAGTTCGTAGATGGATCAGCGCGCGATTCTCATAAAGGAGAGCCGCCGTTGAAGAAGCAAGCCATAGGACGAGTGTATAAATTAGAAGTAGATAAAAACTTTAAACCAGCTGACTCATCAAAGGGCCCCATCTCATGTACGTTGGGTTCTAACTTCTTTATGTGAATTACATGATTGTGTGAACTGTGTGATTGTTGCTTGTGTTGCATACATGTTTTTATGAACAACTGTGTGCTACCAGTTGGTGGTAAATACCACATAATTGTTCATGAGAATCGTGCGATGATCTATCTACGAACTTCTCTTTTCCAGACGAAGATGGATGCTTACTAGGACACGAAGAAGAGTAGTGCCCTTTCTCTCCACACGAGAAGCACGTAACAAAGGTCGCTGACGACCCTTGATTTGGTAGCTTAGACTCTTTCCTGAGGTGGCCGGCTTTTCCACAGTTTTGACAAACTTGCGGTGAGTCCTCAGAGTGCATTCTTCTACCTCTCTTACCACTTCGATTCCCTCCTTTACCGTTTGACATCCCTTTCTGTTGTTCCCTCTCCAACTTTTACCGGGGTCACTAGACCCTTCAGTTCCTCGATGATCCTTTCCTCCACACTCACCGCATGTTCCATTAAATTAAACAAACTAGTGGATTCTACCATTTGTAGTCGACTACGCAGCTATGGTCGGAGACCCCTTAAGAATTTCCGAATGATAGCCAACTCATCCCCATGACCGTAATGT